ATTATTCGATAGTGTGAAAATACTACCAACAAGTAAATTCTAGATTGATTGCGTCGGAACTCTTCTTTTTTCAGTTAGCTTTATGTATCATAATTGGTAGATTGTACGCGTTGCAGCAATTTCTGTAGACACATTGCCTCGAATGGAACTAAACTTACGGCTTTCAGTCGGGAGCTTCATAGTTCAGTTACTTAGGGTGATGGCTGCATTAAGGTCATGCTCTAGCTGTCGCTGTCGCTGAGTCTTTCCTAATGGACGTGGTAAAACATACGCATACCTAACTACATTTTTCCAGAGAGTATGAATTTCTGAAACTGATCAGTTGCAACCATTAACCGGAGCTAACTATTATGACATCTCTCTAAATGTAAACGATGCTTTTTAAGGGATCCCCGTCCACCCGTTTTTAGAGCTTACAGTGTTTTCTAGAGGCGTTTACTTTACCACTTACATTAACAAAGTCCATTATCACGAAGTGCGTAACTAAGACGATCACGACCTTGCTGATAATGTTTGGCTTGTCTTCGGTCGTCAGACAGCTATAATTTCAGCCTACGTCGATGCCCTGCCAAGTGATTACTGGTGTCAAGCTCTGTAGGAAGTATCTTTAATACTGTGGAACAGTCAAGGTAGATAAACGGACTAGGTTTGTAACCGGGTTTCTACTGCCTGAAGGTAAACTGTGATGGTCTGGTGACGGGGCCCACTTTCTAAGACTTTGAACCAAATTCCCAAGGGAAAACGCCTGCATTCGATCTTCTTACCAGTATAGCCAAGTGGGTTTAATTTTCAGTTGGCTTAAATGTAAGTGATTACCCAACCTTATCTCGTATGTTTTGGTATTATCACGCCTAATTACGTTTTGGCCAATTCAGACCGGTAAAACGGGCAATTTAAAGGAGGATGATGCCGCGTTGGATGAGCTTCTTGCCGAAATAGTAGGCGGAAATGCAAGCAGACGGCCTAGTATGCCTTCCACGTCGACAAAGAAGGCTCATTCTGAACAGAAGAGAAGCAAGCGGACTACTTCGATGACGACAACCTCGCCAACGAAGCATTCAACTAACAAGGAAGCGCGGAAAAATCCTTTCTCTCTGAAAAAATCAGCCAAAGCCGAAAACGATTACCAGAATGATGTTGATGCTAAGTGTGTAGAACGCGCCCCACTGTCGCAGCCCGCTGCCAAACGCCCAACATTGCCGATACCAAATGTAACTGTCAGGGCCACGAAAACATCCCAGAATTCAAGCAGTGAGTTCTTCCTCCCACTTCCTAATCTGAATATAAGGCCTGACGGTCACTTATGATCATTTTATGTTCATTCAGTTTGCAACTTAACTAAGAGAACATGAATAGGCGTTTTTACAAATGTTTTTGATTAAAAAGTCCTTAAGCAGATGATTATCTAACTTATTTCCAGTCTGAAATTCTTCCTCTCGCCTTCGTCAGTCACACTCTAAGGAAAGCACCTATGTTATATTTAGTCCAAGTTTTCTATTGCCTGCTCAATGTCTATTTTTGTAACAAAGAGCCCACGTTGTTTTTTAGTTCAAAGTTTTTTCTGCATTCTTTTCTGGTTTACTTCTATTCAAATTACATTTGCGAAGGTGACCTTTTACTCTATTGCAATTTGAAGCGCCACTTACCCTTCTCATCCTCTTATGGTCTCCAGGGTATCTGAACTATTTCATAAACATTTTCACTTTTCTGCCCAGACGCCTATTAAAACACAGTAGATGTTATGGCCGGTCCGGCATAATTAGTTCTTTCCATCAGAACTCGCAGACGTAAGGACTTACCGTTTTTTGTCTATCGCTAAACATCTTTCAGCAGGATGTCTCTGATAGTCCCTTGGAAGGTTTTCTGAGTGACTATTTTCATTTTTTTCGCAAACTTCCGATAGCCAAGCACAATTTGTGGTAGTACGGAATAGGTTCCTGAAGGTTGCTGTCTCCACGTGTAATCTTTCATTTCCTATTTATTGAGCACAGGAAGACGGATGGAGGGGCCCTGTTTAGGGACTTGATGTCTGATTAATCGAACCTCTTATTATTCCACCTTTGCTCACTAGCCTCCTCATATCAACCCAAACCGGAACCCATGGATTTCACGAAGGAGTCAAAAGGAAGTTCGGTAGCGCAGGTATTTGAAAATGAAAAGATGGTCATGGAAACCGATGATTTTTCCTCCTGTCTGAAAGATGACGAGGACAGCGAGGCGGCAGCCGACGTCGCAGCACCCTGGATGGCTGAAGAGGGCGAGGTTGCTGACGAAGTGAATGATCCCTCGGCGTTGGATTACACCGACGAAGAGGACAAAGAAAGACTAAACTTCTTTTGGTTCGATGCCTACGAGGATTCGAAAAACCAACCTGGTGGGCAGAATTATCCTTTGCTCTTATTTTTTCTTTCCAACCGTCAACAGTGTATAGTTAGGGTACTGTTTTGATCTAAGCTGCCTGTCTAAGTCTGTCTAGATCAGCATATTTGGATTGGTTTACGTCGTGCCCCTTGTACTTGAAATCGGAACTAAGGACTGTGGTTAAACAAGAAATGCAGTTCTATAATGGGAACGGATTAGAGAAATGTAAATAGTACACTTACTACTAAGGTCTCCTGCCTTATGAGTGACCATTTACTGACAAAAATAGCGCTCTGGTTATTCATCGAATCTCTGCTTTTTCGTTCCTCTACCGAGAGTGAACCTAAAGTCTTTGACATTTAAACACTACAGTTTCCCTAAACCCAGATCCTGCACTTATTATGTGCGTCTGTTATGTTTACTTTGGAAACATGACGAGTACTTATTTAGACCAGGTGGATTAGTGAGCTCTTGCAATTGAGTCGCCGTTTTCCCTTCTCGATTAGCTCATGGTAATTTTTCTGCGGTAACGCAGGAGATCGATACTCAGCCAACTAAACCAGCATTTTCTCCTTCGCCACGCGAATTAGAGGTGCTGTGTGCTGGCTGGATCCCCGGACCAACGTTATCGCGATAACAGCTTAGTTCAAAAATGCCAAGATTCCTGTATTTGTTGGATGATGGTGTTATTTCGTTTCTGAAATTTGTGCCCCTTTACCAGCTAGAATGCAATCTCTAGCCAGTTTTTTCCTCTAAAAACTAGAGCATAACAATATAGATCAGGAAGTATATTCCGTTACCGACGGTGTTCACCATGTGCCTTCCAGCACTGTTAACGCCTGAACCCGGGGTCATGACCAAGCCAAGAAGACCAGAGGCAAGAGAGGGCGCAGGTTTCTGGTGAGGCTGGAAGCCGTACTTAGGCATACTATCACATCCCCCCATGTGCAGCATTTATTATGGGCGCGCATCCCCAATAACGCCTGCCGCGCTCTGATCTGACCCCCATGTCGATCTAGCGCACCTATTTAGTGGCCTATTCTACAGGCTCTATCAGAGACTCACGTACGTGTGAGCAAGTGTGTTGTAACACAGTTATGAGCACAGAAGGTCAGCATATTTAACACAGACCTTAGTCTTCGCCCAAAATTGCAGTCTTTTCGTTGGTAAAATGACATAACAACACATTCCTTTCTGATAAAGACCAATAATTGGAATGGGCGACGTCAAGGGTACCCCGGAATGATCATTCGGAATGATCCGAATGATCGGAATGATTCGGAATGATCATAATAAAAGAGGACTCTCTGCGCCATTCTGCATGGAAATCCTAAACAGGAAATTAAGCCAGTAGGCTGCAGACAGAAATCAAAAATACCGAAATAAGAAATATTCCGGCAGATAAAATTTGCTGGGTTGTTCTGCAACTCCCAGTACTAACCTATGATGCTCGTTGACTCAATTAGCTAATTTTTGGTTCATTGCAGAGATAAGAATATGGCGACTAGACATCCGATAAACAGTTTCATTCATATTTCAACAGAAACATTAACGCAGGTAGAATTATGTCCGATCGATACGCAATTACAAAGCAATTAATTACAAGGCGTAATCGGGTAGGGCAATCATTATCCTTTATCTTTCAGTTGGGGTCACAATAGGCATTAATTTATTCTTAAACTACGCCGATATGGCACTTAAATGTAGGATCTTAAATAACGTGAAAAGTAATCCAACGGCAACGAAATTAGGCTCACTGCTGATTGTTTTGTTAATTTAATTATTAATTTTTATTCTAACCCTCTTACTCGTCCCCGGCGTCTCCACTCATTCTTATCCTTTTAACTTTAACTTCCTCACGAGTCGATGTTTTTCGGATAAATGGTCGAGTTTTTTTAAACCGTAAATCGACAATGTTAGTTTTTGAAAAAAAATACTTCATTCTCTAAATTTTTTGTACGACATA